CCCTTGTGGTCTCTTCCAACTCTATGATTCTATGATTCTATCCCACCACTGAAATAACCCAGCTTACCTCTTCCGGACTGAAGCTTAATTTGGGAGGCAGCTGGGTCCTATCACAAGGATTTTTCCATCAAAGCCACTAGGTAAGTCCAGCTTGGCTGCAGCCCGGGTCCCCAGCATACTTCGGCGGTCATTTTTTGAAGTTGGAAAGTTCTGGGTTTCAAAATAAGGCTGTCAAAGTGCACTGGGGACCCAGGCTGCAGCTGGGTTGGACTCGTCCAGTGGCTTTGGTAGCAAAATCCTTCTGATAGAATGTGGCTGCCTCCCACACTAGGCTTCAGTTTGGAAGAGGCAAACCGGATTATTTCAGTGGTGGGATAATCTCCTTAGTACCCCAGTCTTTCATCTTTGGCTACACCCCTCATTTTTAAAAGACACATGTTTATGCATATATAATATTATTTGTTATATAAAGATAATACTACCTGCTCCTAATCATATGATAACAATTACAACCTAAACCTTAAATTAGTTCTTAGTATCATAGACATCTCTTAGTACCAACTAGATCATCACTCATAGTGAATAAATGTTAGTAAATACTGTGGCTAAAAAGGTAATGCTAACAGAACAGATGAGCAGTTTGATTAAAATAAAAAAGATGTGCCAGATGTGCTTAGACAGATGCACCAAGAGTGCTGACACAGTGTGCTAAAGTGCTTGGGAAAAACACAAGCTGGTCACTTAGGACCAGAAAAAGCAAACATATTTAGGATAAGAGTCAGAGGCTGCTAAAGCAATCTCCCCTAATCCTTAGTCAAGTATCAAAAACAACCTATGTTTAACACTGAAGACTGAGTGAGTGAGTTGATTGTTTTGATATCCTACTTTTCTCCCAGTATGGGAGCTAAGGTGGGACACAACTTAGATTAAAAGAAAGCACTGTTTTTAAAATATATATAATAAAAAATTCAAAAAAATGTAATAAGTTACTCTGTTAAATATAGCACTAATTTTTGAAAGTGAAATACATTTATATAATAATGACCATACAAGTGTAGCATATATGCACACACATGCACACATACAGTTAATTGAAAAATCCTTCTGCAGCAACTAGTTAATCACCAAAATCCTTCTAAATAAAAATGTATTTGCTTGTCAATGGGAAAAACTGCAGAGGAGGGGGACAGCCTAACCTTCCCTGTAGCCATCAAGAAGGCCCTCTTGTGTGTCCTCACCAAATGTCCCTGTGACATTTGTGAAATAAGGGAAAAGACCTTCTCCACCCAGGATTTGAAAGCTCAGGCAGGCTTTTATAAGGAGATAGGTCTCTTAAGATAGTCTGGACCTAAGCCACAACTTTTTACTATGCTATTGGTATTCCTATTCTTCACATCCCACACATAGGGACTATGTTATGTTTTCTTCTGTATGGTAAGTTGCAAATTCAGTGTAATACTTAAGATCATAAAGACAGCAGGATAGAGTCTTAGGGGGGATGCAGACGGGCGGCATGGGGCTGCCCCAGGAAGCTGCACCGCGGGGCCAAGGTATCCGCACACCCCGGCCCCGCGGCGTAGCTTTGCTGCCCCTGGAAGGAGCGCTAAAATAGTGCTCCTTCCACAAATTGCCGAAGGTGCACCACAAAAGGCTGGCGGCGCACCTTCGGTGACTGTTCCGCTACAGCGTGTACGAACGCTGCAGCGGGAGGTCATCCTCGGAGCACCGGCCGTCCGGAGGGCCGGCTGCTCCAAGGACATGTTGGGGAAGGGTTTGGGGCACCCAACGTGTGGCTGCCCCTCCCCTTCCTTGCTCTGAAGATGGTGCAAAGCGCCGTCTGCTTAGCCTCTTACAGCCCTTTTGCTTCAACCACTGCCCTGATCCAATTTGGCTCCCCAATAGAGGTTGAGTTTCCCTTGTCCAGAATTCAGAAATCCAAAATATTGGAATTGTCCAAATCACTGTCTGAGATAGTGCCAAATTTACTTTCTGATGGTTCAATGTACACAGACCTTGGTTCATGCACAAAATTATTAAAATATTGTGTATAAAATTACCTACAGGCGATGTATAACATAAATGAATTTCATGTCTAGGCTTGAATTCCATCTCCAAGATATATCTCATTATGTATATGCAAATATTCCAAAATCCAAAAAAACCCAAATTCAAAACATTTCTGGTCCCAAATATTTCAGATAAGGGATATTCAACCTGTAGCTTCTTTAAACATTTAAAAAGACATGGGAGATCCCACTACGCATTTCCTACCATCTTGGAAGCACACTTAAACCTAACATTATTTGCTAGTCCTAATAGGAGCAGAGACATCGAATCAACTGCTGAACAGTGTATCAACAACTGCCTAAATTTTATGAATTTCATGAGCCTGGTCTAGTTAGGGCTAGTAATTAGTTTTAGTCCAAAGTTTCCAAAGAGTTTTGCATCCCAAAGAATTATTTATACCAACATCCAGTAATAAGTATTTACTTTACAATAGTTTATTGTATTCCATTTCTATAGCATTTAACATTTGAGATCCAACTGTCAAAGTCTTATTAAGTCCAGTGTATGTGGACTAGTAAATGTGCTTCCAACTGAAGATTCACTTTCTGATTCTTTTATACCAGAGACAGGAGCCACACATCCTCCAGACAGTATTGGACTGCAATTCCCAGGAGTATAACTAGCATAGCACAGGTGAGAAATGCTGGGTTTCAGACTGACAACATCAGGAAGGCAGTATGTTTCCTTCTCCTGATCCATTCAGAGAGTCATCATTTTAATTTCCCTAAAATTTATTGCCATGAAAGAATGATTAAAATGGATGGCAATGACAAACCACCCTGAAGAAATTTTCCAAGAAAACCCCATGTTAGGGTCACAACAAGTCAGAAGCAACTTGAAGGCACAACAACAACAACATGTAGCCTAAGAATGTTTATTTACATTTCAATTCCACAAGGAGAAACAAGAGCATTGCAACTTTTTCACTTGGAGGACCACAGAAAATAAAATATTTCATTAGACCTATTTGCCTATCTGAAAGATGCATCTGGTTATCTGAAATATATAGAGGAGACAGAAAATATAGGAAAGATTACTTACCTGAGAGTCATAAACCCAAAGAAGTAGCAATCAGTCTTTTTGTATTCAAAGCCTGTGAATGCATAAATTCTTTGAATATACAAAACATGATAATTGCTTATTTAGGATTTGTGATAATTGTTTCCATGAAAAAAATGACTAGACTTTTTTTTTTAAGTAGACTAAATCAATGGATTGGATTCACTGTACACTGAGTTCTGGCTAGACTAGATGCACCAGAATCAACATGATGAGTAGTCATGACAAACCTGGTCCACTGATTCCAGATTAACTGCCATGGCTCAATGCTATGGAATCCTGGACTTTGTAGTTGTTGTGGCACCAGAGCTCTCAGACAGAGAAGACTAAATATCTCAGAAAACTACAAATCACAGAATTCCGTAGCACAGACCCATCACTTGGAGAGGTGTCAAACTGCGTTGTTTCTGCAGTGCAGATGGCAGTGTAGGTCTGAATCCAGTTCATATTCTGCTCACTTACAGTCCACATTTTCCACAAATACATTAGAATAGATCCAAAGTTAATCCCAGCTAGACTAAACTAACTGAAATGCAATTAATTTGTTAGTCTAGTGGGATTCATTGTAGATGGGATGAGGACTTGGATTAGCCAATTGTACTCAAAGCAGTTCACATAACGGTTAGTTTAAATATAGCAGAATAACAACAACACCCCATACATACACACACACACACACACACACACACACAAGCATGATATTCATAATGTATAAACATTAAAATACACTCCAATTGTTGTACAGTAATGCAAATGGACAAGGAAAATAGGTTTTATTTGGCCTCTGCTGCAAATTAAAGTAAAAGACAATGTTCAACCACTTCACTCGAGCTATTATGATTTACTTTAATTATGGCTTAATCTTATTCTTTACAGTCATGCAATATTCATAATTTCTACAATTACATAAAGCAGTAAAAAGACAAGAAAAACCACAGTTGCTCTCAGTTGACTGAGAGATCAAGTGTTGCACATATTTGTAGCATCAACAAAGACTGTTGTTGTTGTTGTTGTTGCAGTTGCAGTGTGCCTCCAAGTCATTTTTGATTTATAGTGACCCTAAGGCAAACCTATCATTTATTTCTTCAGAGGGGGTTTGCCATTGCCATCCTCTGAGAATGAGAGGATATGACTTGTCCATAGTCAGCCAGTGGGTTGTTATGCTCAAGCAGGGATTCGAACACTGACCTCCAGAGTTGTAGTCCAGCATTCAAACCACTATGCCACACTGGTTCTCTATCATCAAAGGCAGGATCAACATACTGCAATCTAGTTACAAGCTTTAATAAATCCTTAAATTACCACTAGTTGGGGGCTTAAAATACAACCCCATACATATCAGAAAAGGATCTTCATTTCTCTCTTACCAAAGGTCAGCTGTGTAATAGAATTCAATGAAACAAACTGTGTTTTTGTTTGGAAGGTGTTTTGTTTTCATGAAGCCTACAATTCTTCATAAGAATTCTACATAAGAACATGGGAAGCTGCCTTATATTGAGTCAGACCATTCGTTCGTATAGTCCATTATTGTCAACAATGATTGGCAGAACTACCTGGATATCCCAAGAGTTGAACCTGAAGCTTTCTGCATGCAAAGCATGTGCACTACCCCTGAGCTACAACTGTGTACTCCCCATTGAGCTGAATGGGATTGATTTAATATCTCAGGCTGAACTTGCACTGCTGTCATATCCATATGTCTAGGGAACTGTCATGATAAGAAATATGAAGGAATGTGGTGATATAGAAATAATTTGATATGGTGAAATAGTGCTATGGTTAAATAAAGGGAAGCTCGAAAGGAGGGGGCAATAAACAGAGGGAAATGCTTGGGAACCAAATGGATGACAGGGGATGTAGTTTTATTGCTTGTTTACTTCCTGGGGCAGGACACTGATGAACAGAGGATACTTTCCTTCTTGGGACAGACAATATAATAATGAAGATGGGGAAATAGAGGAAAGGAAGAATCTTCAAAGGACCGGTTAATCTGGTTCAAAGCCAGGAACTGCAAGTTGGGGAGGAGGAGCTGGGAAGAGGGAACTCTTAAATGATAGTCCATTTGAGGAAAACTCAGATTTGGTACTGCCAAGTCTGTAGTGAACTTCTCTCCAGTAATCCAAAATAAAGCTGTAGTATTTGAATACAATCATGCTGTTTTGGTTGCTCAGGTCTAAGTCCACTGAACATGACAACTGCAGAATTAATGTAGCTTTACACCACTTTAACTGTCATGACTCAATGCTGTGGAATTCTGGATTTGTAGTTTTGTGAGATACTTAGCCTTCTCTGTAAGAGCACTCTGATGCCACAACAACCTACAGATCCCAGGATTCCATAGGATGGAGCCATTACAGTTAACCAGTGTCCAATTGCATTAGTTCTGCAGTGGAGCAGCAGCCTCAGATGAAATGCTTGGAGCTGTAAATATAACTGAGAGGATTTAATGCTGTAAATATAACTGAGAGGAGGACTTTTGCTTTCCAGCACCTCTGACCAAAGTTACTACTCATTGGAGAGCTATAGGTTTTCTAGTCTTGCCATTATATTTCCTACCACAAAGCTCCTGAGTTAAATTTCAAAAGTCTATTTTTTTTCTTAAAAGAAAATTCTTAATCCCCTGATGGCATTGCACTGAACATAACTGGCAAAGAAGTCTACTGGGGAATATGACTCTCAGAGAATGAGCAACATCATTTAATCCTATCATAGAATTACTGAAGCATTTAACACCTCTCTTGTGTAAAAATAACTGAATGCGACTGGTGAATATAAAAACTTTGTATTACCCTGTATACACATTATAGGAATTGTAAGTCAATAAATGTCACAATCAATACACAGGCTTCAAAATGCAAATTTTATCATGGCTGGACACTGAGCTGATTAACTTAAATGCAGTGAATGAAGGTGGAATAAAAATTTACATTGTATTTTAAACATCTATGTTACAGAAAGCTAAAACTGAAAACATTGTAAAATAAAATTTAGATAATGACTCAGTATTTCAGCATGTGAAATAATGACTTGCTTGAGATACTATTGAGACCTTAAAAGTGTTTTTTATTAGAATGATATGGAAGATTAGTTACTCCAAAACATGGCACCTTTATTTGCCAGAACTCTAGCGTGGAGGAACCTATTAAAAGTTGTACTAAAATATACCAACAATTAAAACTCCAAAACATCACTAATGTGGTCACATTACAAATATACTGGGTTATTTATTTATTTAATTAATTTCTCTTTTAAAGTACCCACTAACTAAATTTCCCTGGACAGTGTACAGCAGGGGTAGGCAACCTTTCCCCTTTAAGGGCCGAGGGACTTCAGCTCCCAGAAGCCTCAGCCATGTTGGCCAATAGACCAATGTTGGCCAATAGCTCCTGGGATTCTGGGAGTTGAAGTCCCTTGGCCCTTAAAGGGGAAAGGTTGCCTACCCCTGGTGTACAGTCTGTTAAAAATGCATTATGCATAGCTCCAATCTGGTGCCACAACAAACGACCATTCCCAGACTTCTATAGCATGGAGCAGTGGCAGTTAAAGTGGTGTCAAAGTGGATTATAGTCAGACATTTGTATCCACAAGGGTCCATTACAGACCCCCCTGTGAATATAAAAAAATACAGGACCGCAAGCCTCGTTGTCCCTAATGGTGGCAAGATGTGCATGCAGCTGCTAGTGCAGCCATATGCACATGCCGCCTTTGGAGACAATGGGGCTTGCAGTCCGTGGATGCTTAAATCCGCAGGTCTGCGGATAGCGAGGCCCCACTGTATTTCTGTAGTGCAGATGCAGCTGTGTTTTCATGTTTGCTTTAGAGAACAGGAGTCTAGTTTTGCTCATAAAACTAGTTTTACCCATAAGCTGTTTGTTAAACTAAAGGAATTAGGGAGTTTATGCTACTAGAATGTAGGAATCAAGAGTTACAAAAGTAGGAAAGTGGGCAATCCCCTTTCCCTGGGAACTTAGCAAACCATTGTTGGAAGTATTACATATTTGACAAACAATACAAGTTGATAAGTGTGCTGGCTTCATCAAGGATAAGGTTTAATCTGAATTTATTTGTTTATTTAAAAATACAGTAGTTTATCAATGTTCACAGCAGTATACATCCAAAATACTGCAAAATACACTTAAAGTGAAGACAGAGTAATCATAAATGCATTGTTCATCTAGAACAGGGATGGGTCAAGTGCATGTGGGCCTCCAGGGCTATGTTTGTCACCTCCTAGTAGTCACAAATGCTCCAGAATGCCCCAATATTACTTCAGGGGATGTGGAGGGCATTTCAACCATGTTCAAAGGCTCTCTGGACACCCATGGGGGGGAGGGTCAAATATTGCAAAGATTTTCAATACAATATTTTGCCCACCCATACTCCAAAAGATCCACTAGGAAGGATGAGGAACATTTCCACTACATTGTGGGGGAGAGGGAGCTGGGCAATTTAGGCCTAGGAAAGGGCTTTTTTTTAACCCCACAACATGGTGAAAGTGCCCCTGTACATGTTAGAAGTATTTGAGGGCTTTTTGTGGGAGCAAGTGAGGTCCTCCAAGGTATCCTAGGGAGTTAATACAGCCTCCTACCATAGTTCCCTGCCCCAGTCTAAAAGGACAAGTAGTAGTCACCTTATCTCTTCTCTCCTGTTTATTATATAATCAATAAAAGACAATATTTTCTGATTTATATGTACCCCTTTTTATTTATCACCTTCAGATTACTTGTTAACTTTTCCTAAATGTTCTTTGTCTACCAATATATTGTATATACTCATGTATAAGTCTAGAAAATATAGTCAAAAAGTTGACCCAAAAAATCTGAGACAACTTATCCATGGGTCAATGTAAGTACTGTACTTTAACTCTGATATATATTTAAAAAGAACCATCACCTGGTGAAAGGCAAGAGAATAATCTTTCCTGGAAGCACTGATTTCCCTCTATTGTCTCATTGATCCTGTCTTTGGCATTGTTTTCCTTTGCTTCATCCTTTGCATCCTTTGTTACATGTCCCTAAATTTTACCCTCAACTTATTCATGGGTCATATCAAAATCCATAATTTTGTCCCCAAACTTGCCCTCAATTTACATGTAGATTTTTCAGAGTAACCCTTTTATTTCACCATGTAATTCAATACATATTTTTCAAATAATGTAAGAAGCCAAGGAGCACCATCATTTATTTTAATGTGTCTGCAAAAAACCTAAGGTTCTTAAGTCACTAACATATGCTTTCAAGCTTAATGCTATTATGTTCCTTGTTGGTGTGTGTCATGGGCCAGGACTGAGACCTGGAGGAAGAGTCCAATGAGGAGGCTGAGGAAGGGACCCAGGCAAGTCTTCTAGACAGGGAACAACCCGCGGCTCTCCCTGTTGCAGAGCAGCCAGCCCTCCCTGCTGAAGAGCCTCAGCCAGCTCCTCCTGTGGAATTACAGCAAGACTCACTTGCTGCTGAGACAGAGGACACAGCTAGGGTCTTAACTCTTCAATCAAGGAGGAGGAACAAGAGGATCCAACAAAAGAAAGAGCTAAGACGCTTGTTGCCCTCCTTGACTTGGACTGCTTGACCAACGCCTTCTAGCGGAGGTTATCTTATGCCCCTTAACCTCCCATAGTACATGGACATGCCCAAGTTGTTTAATTTGTTTCTATTTGTTGTTCTTTTTGTTTTTGTTTTTATTATGTTTTTAAGAATCATTTTAATTCTGC